GGGGCCTTCTGAAGCTATGGTTCTAGGACTACCTAGAAAAAGAGAAAATAGGCAGCACCTCAGCCTAATTTCATCAGATATGATCACAGCTGAATGAATGTACTCCCCGCTGAATTCTACCCCACAAACTAATACCAATCGTACCACTTATATAAAGCACCCTTGTACAGTTTCACTATTAAGCACATACCAAGTAAAGAGAGCCAAAGCACCCGTATGAGGGGAGTAAGGTTACCATGTCCTAGTTTTGGCATGAACCAGGGTTTCACTATTTCAAGTAAGTAGTTTCACAAAATCCTACATATGGGTGAGCATTTTGTCCTAGTTTGGAATAGTCACTATGGCTTACTACATGCAGCTAGGCCAAACAGTCAAAGAGGGTACCTCAGCAAGACTACCTAATATATCTCTCACACCTAACACCAAGAAGTGAAAGGAGGAACAAACGGTACAGCAGTAGTCCAGATCCAAGGGTTGTGTTTCCAACATGGCAGGGCCCACGATCGGTCAGCCTTTTGGCAGGCTTTTGGGCAAGCCTCCAGCTAACTGTCTAGGAATAGCAGATGACAAACATAGTGATTTAAGCATACCAATGAAAATGCAATGCAAAAAACATATCTATATATATATATATAGATAAAATTTCACATTATGAAGTTCGAGTCAAGTTGTCAAGATTCCCCAGCAGAGTCGCTAGAAACTGTAACTTGCCTTTCGTGCTTCTTTCGGATACGATAGCCCTACAGTTCGGACTCTCGTGATTCTAAATCTAATTTCACTCGTGCAATGTGAAATAGATAAACACAAATGAGTCCAAATCTGGCAAATCTTTTGAAAAATCAATTTTGAATAAAAAATACCAAAAAATGGACTGCGTTGCCACATTACAAAGCTGCCACCTAAATATTTTTGAAAAATTTAGGAAACTCAAGACTCATGCCAAAGGCCACTTATTCGTCATCACCAAAGTGTCTCATCTCGGGAACTTAGGTACAAGAGAGGAAGGTCGTGAATTGAGCACCCCACTCTCCCGATAAAAGATCAGCCTCTATTAATCATGATGTGATTCTTATTTACATTATATGTTCTTATTCCGATTATTAGGCTATTTTTACTATGTGACGCACACAAGTATAGGCAAATTTGCAAAAATTGGAACTCTTTGATTTCACGTTTGTTTTGAAAATGTTTCAAATATGTACCACTTGAAAAAGTGATCTCATATGTACATTACTCAAATTATTCAAATTCAAGCAATTAGCCTTCATCCACAGTCATTCAAGAGTTATATCAATTAAGCACTTAGCCTCATGATAATCATGCTTTGATATGGCAACAATCACACGCATGTGATATGCTAAAGCCATAAATGCTCACCTAGTACTCCAAGGCAAGCCAAAAGGAATAAACTAGTTAGAAAAATGCATAATCCTAATATACGAATGGTTAATGCAACACATGTAGAAAAGCAACTAATAAGTTCAGTTGTCTAATATATCATGCAAATCAACACTTTGACAGCATACAATGACGCACGTATTCGAGGAAGTAATAAATGACAATGCTGTTAGAATGATGAATCGACCTTATGCATGCGAGATGAGTGGATACTTTGTACATGGAAAATGCTAAGTAAACATGATGCTCTATACTATCCATTAAAAACAAGTAAATAAAAAGGAGAAAGAAATGGAGGTTGGAAAATAGACACATTATTACATATTTGCCCTTATGCAGAAGGGTCCGAATAAATGTCCTAGCTAATTACCAAATTAACTAGCTATTACAAACCAAATAAAATAAATTAACTATACTAGCTAATTATCACAGATTAAAGTTAACTAATTAATTACAACACAAGATTAATTAACTAAGCTATTACAAAATTCTAGAGAAGTAACTCACTAATTAAACCCACGCAGCGGTTAAAGAACCATGTATGCCAATGCGATCATCCTTCGAGAAACGCCTCTGTTTTGCTGCCAGAACTTTTCTGTCTGCAAAAAATGCCTCTATTTTTGCCACCCTACCTCTCCTTTGACTTATGAATCAAGGGATACAATCTCAATAAATAACAATGAAAGACTCACAAATCTCCTCCCTATCATTGAATTGATCAAGGGAAGTGGTTGACCATAAATCTTAAGCCATTTTCATCACTAACAAGTATGAAATGACTCAAGACTCAATGGGTTCAATTAACGTCTGATTGAACCCAAGTTAATTTTATTATCTTCTTCCATTTTAGCCCCAATTATTGCTCCATTTAATTATCTTTCAATTCCTTAGTCATTTTAGTCAAAAATGATAGTTAAATCCACTAAATGGAGAAGAGTGTCAAACAAGAAGTTGTTTGGCGCATGAGAGAGAGGTAGTGCCCTGGTAATGAACTTCTGAAGAGATTAAACCATTTAGCATTGTATGGTCCCTTTCTCAAGCTTAAACAACACTCAGTTGAAACAATTCTCAAAGAAATGAAAAGCCAAGAAATGAGGAAAGGTGTAGAGATGATTATATATGAACACAAGTATGAAAAGTATGAAATAAATGCTATAAACTCAAATAGGTTGATGGCTAAGGCCTAAACCACCAAACATATGAGGACAATTGCATTACAAGCATACTATACAAAGCATAAATGAAACTAACAACCTAAAACAGTCCTAAAATAGTCAAAAATAGCATTGAAATTCACATGGCAAAGCTTGAAAAAGTAGCTACAATAATGTAGAAATTGAGCTAGTAAATAAGCATAAGAAGGGGTGGCTAATCCATCCATTTTTGGGACCTCAAAGCAACATTTTTAGCTCTAAAAATCTTTGAAAATTAATGGTAAAAAGCTGAAAAAAAGTTGATGAATAGATGGGAAACACCAGGATAAAAGCCTAGGAAGCAAGGTTGAAAGAAGCGTGGTCAACCCCTCTCCCTTTATTGGCCTTAAACCACAAATTTCAGCCCATAAACACAGGTGAAAAACAGTACAAAAAGAACAATAAATAATGGTACATAAATAGGGGAAAAAAGCTTGGAGTTGTACCTTTTGAAAAGGAGTGACCTTTTGAATTATAAACCACCAATTTCACACCCTCAAGTGCTAAGATGCAAGCTCAAGAACCTCAGCAAAGAGACCTCAAAAATTTGTTTAAGAAGTCTAGGTAAGGTATGTATAGGTTGCAAGGTAGAGAGAAAAATATTTTCTAAGAATTTTCTTTCTCCAAATTTTTCTAACCTAATTTTATGAGAGGGGGTCAAGTATATATAGAAAAACATGTTAGACTTCGGAAATATCCATACAGAAACAACTAATGCAATGCATGCACTTGTGGAGACAGCTAGCAAAAAGATCTAGTTTTTTTGACACAAGTGGCCGGCTATCCACTAATAGGGACGGCCGTACACTAATTTGTGGCCGGCCGGCCACTAGTGGGTTTGTGGGCCTCTGGGTGGTCAGGCTTGAAAAAAAAGTTGTTGTGGTCCAAAAATGATGTAGGGCTTGTAGGTTTCTGAGGCTCAAATCTGAGGCTTTCTGCTGGAGAAATCAAGCATTTCACAAGCGTGTGCATTCATCATTAGGTGATCAATTGGTGGCACCGAAGTCTTTAAGGTTAGTCAAAAATGAGTGTCTATATCGTTGTGAGTGGCAGAGGAGAGAGAGAGAGAGAGAGAGAGAGAGAGAGATAGACAGAAAGAGAGAGGGTAGAGAGGAGATTGGTGTGTGTATGTGTGTGTGTGAAAGAGAGAGAGAGATTGTTAGATTTGGAATCACGTATATGATATATATATACATATTAGTCATTTTGCTTGAGTTTGTCCTTTTGGACAAACAATTTCAGCACCTACACTGTTTACCAAACAAAATTGAAATTTGGATTTATGGACCTAGTGCCCTTTAAAGTATAGGAGCCAAATTATTTAGTTTGAAATTGTAGGAACTAAAGTAAAATTTAGATCAAATTACAAGGGTAAAAATTATAACTAACCCAACTTATTATTTGCATTACATTACACTACATGATATCTTAAAACACTTAGGGCTTGTTTGATATTTAAATAAATAATTCTCTACTGTTCACATTTATTTTATAATGGATGTGGATATATACAATATTTGTTTACATTATTAGTTGTAGAATTAAAAATTTACCAATTTTTTTAGATAGAATATCAATTGGAATCTAATACAGATAACAAAAACTACAACTAAATAATGGAATGTGAGTCCTGTAGATTAATAATCCTAATTTAAGCTATAATCCACACAATCCAACAAGCCCTTAAAGCTATTTTTCTCTTGGAACAAATATAGGTTGTGCCTCAAATTAAATTTCTTTGGCCAAAATAGTATAACATATCACTTTTGTATCTCTTTTTAGGAGACAACAAGACACTTATCCTGATATGAGTGGCCTAGAGCAATGTTCCAAACCACCAAATAACTTTTATGTTAGGTTTTTATAATTGGCAATCTCGTTTGACAAAACTCCGTTCAGTTGTAATTTTATTCGTTCTATTATTATGGTGAAGCTATGAGTATTTAGATACGAATCCAACCTAAATTGTGCTTATGTAAAGAAGTTTGTGATCTTGATCATTTCATGTTTGTCACTTTAATTACTATGTACAGGGGGTTGGGCTGCTCAGTTAGCTGGCGGGGGTCCATGAGGTAGTGCTTTGTGGCGGGGTCGAAAGGCTGTCATAACCCAAACCTATCCCTATGAAAAAAAAAAAAATGCAGTTGAAGTTATTTGGCCGCTCGAGTGGTGAATGGCATCATCCAGTACTTTTACAGAGCGTCTAACTTCTGAGAGCATCTTATATGTGCTCGAGCATTGGAGTCTTAATGTCACAACCCAAACCTATCCCTATGGGTTTAGCATCATAACCGGCTAGTAATTCGTAGATTACCGAAGGCCTCTAAAATAGAAATCAAATTATTAGGGGTTAGCAGAAGCAAATAACAAATATACAATGTCCATTGAGTTGTGCAGACATATATGGGATAGAAAAATTTTAAACTTTATATACATATATCATACATTACCCCTAATTACAGAATAAGACAAATAAGACAAAAAAAGACTTAGCTCTAATTACAGAATAAACAAAAACTTGAGCTTTAATCACATAGCTATGACCATTTGACATATCTGGAACCTCCACGAGAGGCACATATATTGGTTGACAAGACAGAGTCCAAGTAGAAGCTCTAGGCCTAGTCACGCGCCTGATCACCTACATACATAAATAATACGATGAGTTGGAGTCTAGTGAATAACAACAGCATAAAGGGGTATTGAATGATGTCCTTTCAATAATTTAAAATAGTCAATTTCATCAATAAATCAATATCTCGTAGCATGTCAAATCATATTGAAATCGTAATTGTTATACGTAGTACATTCATTAGTAGAACAGTACAGTACGTCTTAGAAGACCGAATTAGTCATGTATGATGACCATCAATCTAGTAAATAGCAGTTCCAAAAATTGGAATTGACAGAGATCTCAGCAATAATAACAGTAACAGTAATAGATGGTATGAATGCCACAAATACATTTCATAAATTGGACAATCATTCAATCAGTCAGAAAGCATCATTTTAGAAACAGAGCATTTTATAATTTAGAAAATACTTATAATGCAAATATATCTTTACAAGGTTGTTACTCACAGATAGCTCCAGAAGCAGATCAAACAAATTAGACAGACAATAATGCGTGACCGACACAAACACATAACATATATACATTGAAACACAATATCACTTCATTGATCAAACTTGACTTCTCTTGTCTTTTTCTGTTTAAGTAATCCGAAGTTCTACTATGCTTATTCTTTCTTTATTCAAATGAATCGGATTCTCATTTCACATATTCTTTCATTACTAAATCATTCTTTTCCTAATAGATTGATTTCGTACTTCGTTTCTTAATCAATTACTACTAAATCAATAATTTCAAATTTTTTCTTCTTTTGTTTTACAAAACATAGAATTAAAGCTATAAAACTCTTAGGAAAATATTTGCATGTATGAAATTTAATTCAAAATCAAACCAATCTTTTATTCTCAAATTCTAAATTTATACAAATTTAAATTTAATTCATTTTCTTCATATCAAACCCAATTTTAAACCCACAAATTCTAAAACATAAATTAAACTTTCAAAACCCAATTTCATGCCTCGAAACTTATGCAAAATTTCATCAAAACATGAAAATAAAATGAGTCATGATCAATCTTCAACCCAATTAAATCAAAATTTCTTTTGAATTTAAAGATCAAACTCTCAACTTTCATGGACTCATAATTTTCAAAACTTTTCTTCAAAGTAATTTATATAACAATTCTTGTTGCATGTAATTTATGGAGCTCAATTCAAGAATAATTCTCAAAATGGAACCCAAACTTAACAAATTTAAAGAATCATAACTCATATTTTTCAACCTAACTTAATTTAACATCCAAAACCCAATTCCTATCAATTTATATAATTAATCTTCGAATTACTTCATCCTTCCATTATTTTTGTCCAATTACATGAAATTGAACCCAATTGTTTCTTAATTTCAACTTTTAGATAACTCATCAACAAAATCTAAACTTTAATTTCTTACCTAAAATCTTCTAGTTGATGAACCTTTGATAAATTTTTGAACTCCCCTTTAATTCTTCACTTTTCTTTGCTTTTCCTCCCTTGTTTCTTCTTTTTCTTGGGTTCTTCACTTGGGTTCTCAGCACAAATCAATAACTCTCTCTCTCTCTCTCTCTCTCTCTCTCTCGGCTGTTTCAGCACAAAGCAAAAACGACTTCAACTCTTTAACTCTTAACATATAAACACAATATAATTCTCAGCACACCCACAAAATTGCTCAATAAACCCACACCCGCATGCATCTTCGATTCTAGATTCTTTCATAATTCAATTTATGTTTAGGATTAATTTAATTGAGCAACACCTAGTCTTAACAAATCTTGATTAACACATAATTAAATTAATCATAACTAATCATAAATCCCACATAATTTAATTAGTTGAATTGACTTCCATTAGAGCCCAATTAATTATATTTACATTTATCAATATGAATTAGATTTTTAATCAAACTCCCAAAAGGCTCCAAATATCAAATTAAACTTCTTACCATTATCAATTTTGGTTTTTCAAAAATTTTAAAGCCTTCAATTTCAGATCAAGTTCAAAATATCCATCAATAAATTACATATTTAATTGAACACCTCATAAATAAATGTAATTCATGATAATCTTAGTTCTCAATCCGCATCATCACCTTATAATTTAATTAATTCCAATTCAAACCCAATTGATCGAATCATAATGTTACTGAATTTAATCAAATATTTATTTAAACTCTCATATTAGTTTAATGCTCGAAATTCAACCGATTCAACTTATCAAGTTCACTTTCTTAAGTCATGTAGACTTTCAATTGCTAATTCCAACATAAATCTTTAATCAAATCGTATACGAATTAGACCGAATAATTCCCATTGTTAGTTGTTATCTATCATACTTAGGACTCTTGTTATCTATTCCTATTATTCTTAGGACTCTTATATTCTTGTACACCTAGGTTTCCTATACACCTAGGTTTCTTGGCCTATATATACAGGCTTCTCATTTTGTATTGTTCACATTGAATATATACAATACATATTATTTTCTCACTCTCTCTACTATTCTAACACCCATAAATCGCAAATTGAACCAGACTAAGGAACAACTGAAATTCAAATCTCCTTAATTAATTAAATGCTAATTATTATACGTAGTGGGATCGTCACACTTGGCTCGAGTGATGGGCACGTGTTTTAATGAGTTTGCTCGAACGATGAAGTAGTCGCTCGAGTGGTTAGCCTATATGTTTTGCACCGCCTTTACTCACACCGCTCAAGCGGTGAAATGTGTATTCGAGCGGTTTTCACGATTCAGTTTACTATAAAGTGCGCAGTTTGTAGTTTTTAGGATTGAGGCCATCCAGATTTTCAGAGAGGAGCAAGAGACAAAGTGTTTTATATTGGATAGTGCTTTATGAGTGTTTCTTTGACGGTTTAAGAGTGATTAATGGATCCACGAACTTCATATCAACATCATCGACGGTTTGTTTGTTTTCGTTTATTCACAAAAAAGAGAATTATTTTTCGGTGGATTCCGGGAAACTTGGGTATGAAGTTTTGGTGGATTCCGGAGTGCCTCATTGCCGTGGATTCAACATCGGCGTTGTGGATTCAGCGTTGGGCAACACAATTCCAAGGTGTAGACGGTAGTGCAAGAGGCACATAGAGGTCGGTTCAATCTGGGCGTGGATTTGCTAGGTAGTTGAGGGTAAACTTGTGTAATTCATTTTTGTCTTCTTAGTGAATTATTTTATGACTTTTGCCCATGGTTTTTTTTATCACAATTGGAGGCGCTCTAATTGTGATTTTTTCATGTTAAATCGTTGTGCCAATTTGTCTTGATTGTTTGACGGTCAGTATTATTTATTATTTTAAATTGAAACATAATCAGAAAATTAAAATCTCGGAGGTTTTAGATTTTTCATTCTCCATAATTAGAGATAAAATACACATCTTTCAACTTAAAATCTTAGTGACTTGATGGTAATTAAGAAATGAGGTGCTAGCAGAAATTAGCAAGACCCAATTTTATAATTAAATTAAAAATTGGCTACATATCTTAAATATTGGTCCCAGAAATAATATATGATTAGGACCCTTTTCACATTGACATAAAAAATTGGCTACATATAAAAATTGCTGATCCCAAAAATAAATTGTATTAGGTGAGATCTCAAATTTTAATCAGTGGAGAGGCGCAAGCCTATTATAGTAATATAGTTCTATCAGACCCACCTTAAATTCAAATAATAATTAAAGTGATATCAACTTACTATAATAATTTAACTGTACTAACCAGAAACATATATATCTCCATTTTTAATTGAGAGGAAGGCAGAGCTAAAGCCATACAAAGTAGCCCACATGAAAGCGAAATTATAACTCATAATTATGACAAGAAGCACTAATTCATGCTAAATATACACTACAAATCAATCTTTGGCACTTGAATTTGTTGGACAATCTTCACTGTATTTAAAAAATTTAATTCTATTGTGTACACAATAACAATTAGAATTTAAAGAAATAAAGAAAATGAGAGAATTTGTTTGATTACAAAAATCAAACTCGAAATAAAAATAAATAAATAAAAATAGATTTTATTTTGTTACAAAAACAAAATTTTAAATCTGATTTTAATAAAATGGAGCCTTAGTTAGTTTCGCTTCTACACAAATTTCACATTTATGATTAGGATTAATTTCAAACTTTGGTATATAATCTAAACCAATTAATCTACGCAAAGCATCAAAATTCACATGTCCTAATCTACCATGCCATAAAACTATCACAATGAATGCAAATAGCTGGCACAGGTTTTGGCCACATTGGAATGTCTTCTAAGAAGTGACGAAGCCATTCTGCTTCTTCACCTGCTTTGTCTAAAGCAATGAACTCGGATTCCATTGTGGATAGA